GCTGGCCACTGCGCCCCTGGGCCCTTCAAAGACTCGCTCTGAGGGTTCGTGCCGAAGTGGAATGAGGCCCCAGACGCGCGCGAGTGCGCTGGGGGCCTTTCGCAGGTTAAGCTTTTTTCGCTTCGGAACTCCTGGCGCAGGAATCCAGGCCCTCGATTCCGCGCGCGTTTCTTCCCGGGGGAAATTCGCCATGCGCGAAATTTCAAGGTTGCCGCCAAGCACATTTCGCAGAGCCGATCAGCTCGCTTTCGAGACTCACGCAATGTAGTTGCCCCAGCATCCAGCATCCGCCCTCATCCAGAGCGCGTCGAGTCTGTGGCGTTGCGCTTATCGCGCTCTCGGAGGATGTCGGCAGCAGCCCGAAGAGTGGCCTGAAACGGCGGTGCAATCGCGCCCGCTCGCATAAAGGTTGCCGGGCGCACGGAGCGCGCCTTGCTGGGGGATCGGCCATGGCATCCTCCAGCGATCTCGCTCTATCCCTCGTGAGCCACTGTCCCGAATGAGTTCGCAGCGCCGCTGGGGCGAGGGGCAGCGGGCGGCTCTTCGAGGGCAGGCTGCCGCCTCCGGCAGTGCGCGCGAACCGGCGCGAACCGAAGGTGCTCCTGCCCCGCTACCGCTTCCCGTCGCCCCGAGCCTCTCTATACCCTCCCTCGTTCGAGGTTCGCGTCGCCGAGCGCCTCCGCGCCTGGGGCCTGCTGGGCTCGATCAGCGGCGCAGTGGCAGAGCGCTGGGGCGACCGCCTGGCCGCTCCTTCGTCTGCAGAAACCAGCTTGGCAGCGGTCGTTCCAGAAGACGCCAGCGGCCGGCCGGGCATTTTCACATCGCATGCATGTGGCTGGAGAGGTCAGCTGTCTCTTTGGCTGCAGGTGTGGCATCGATTCCATGTTCCACTGCTTCTCGTGCCCCGTCCTCCGCGAGTCCCTCTCCTTGCCTTCCTCCCCCCATTTCATTCGCGGCCTCGGCGCCGACGGCGATGCAGCGGCGAATCCCGCGCGCGCTGCCGCGTCGCGATCTGCAGGCATCGCTCGGTCATGGAGATGCTGCTGATGCCCGGCAACAACGCACCACGGCCGCCGCTGCCCTCTACGCGAGCCAGGCGGAACCTCGCCTCCCAGGCAAGCGGCAAGGCCAATCATCGTCGTCATCATCATTCATATCCTCACCATCATCATCATCAGCGAATCCTCTGGGCACGCTGAGCGGCAGGGCCGCGCTGGCGCCGAGGGCCAAAGCCCAACTCCCCCGATATTCGAGCGGGGCTGGTCTTCAATGTTCTGATCCGCATCAGAGTCTGCCATGGCCCTCGGCGGTGGCGGCTTGGCAGGCGGCGGCGGGAAGTCGAGGCGCAGCCGTCAGTGGGCGCGCCCATCGTCGGCCAGGGCGAGAGCTGGGCTCTGCGGGGCTTGCGTCGTGGCCGCGGGCGGCGGCGCCAGCGGGCAGCGCTGATGGCCGCCATGCGCCATGTAAACATAGCGACTTCATGCCCCACAAAGCTCCAGCAGGCTCGGCGTCCAGCGCGGCCGCTGCAGGCGGGGCTCAAGACATCGCAGCGACCGGGAGGCGGCTCTTTCACAGAGGCCCCCGCGGCGGACATCGCCGCTCTCGCCGGGCCGGGGAAGGAGTTCGACGCGCCCGTGATCATCGGCGGTGCCGAGCCCCCCCCGAGGAGAAAGCAGGCAGAAAGGATGCCCCTGGAGGCGCGCGCGGCTGGGGGCCAGCCAGCGTCCGACAGGATCATGGGCATCGCGGATTCTTGGGGGGCCGGAAAGTTGGATTTTGGGACCGTGGCCTTGGGCGCAGAGCTCGCGGAGGTGCGGGGCAAGGCGGCGTTGGCAAGGGCGTCAGCCGCGGCGAGCCATGCGGCCTTGCGCGCGCTGCTGCTTCAGCAGACAGCGCAAACGGCGCCCTCGGCAGGAGGGGGGGCGCCGCAGCTTCGAGCTTGCGGGCACTTGCCAAGAAACTCGACGAGCTGCTCGAGCAGGCCAGATGCATGGTCGCCCCATCTGTCGCCGAGGCCCGCGGCAAACTTTTCGACCCCATGCGCGAGCCAGGAACCCCGCCAACGAAGCCATGGAGAGCGGGGGGCGCTCCGAGGCCGGCACGGAGGAGGGCGCCCAGGAACGCGCAGTGCTGGACACCCCCATGGACAAAGCTGGCAGCGGTGGCAGCGGCGGCTTTGCCGAGGGCGACGCGCGGGCTGCTGGCCCCGTCGGAGCAGGGGGTCAGGATCGACGGACGGCTGCTCGGCAGTTGGCCACCGCCGCCCAACGGCAGCTTAGAAGAGGCTGGCGCGGAGGCGCGGCCAGCGGCCCGAAAGGGTGACGAAGGCAGCGACGCGGAAACCGCGGCAGTTAGCGTTGGCTGTGCATGCGCACAGACAGTTTGGCTGCGCGCGTGGTCTGGCGGGCCCGGCAGCGTCTCCGGCCCTTTCGGGGCTCGGGGAAACGTGGGGACTTGCCAACTGGCGCGCGTGGCCCGGCGGTTCTTGCGCTGCCGCTGATGCGCCTGCTGTTGGGAAGCGGAGGAGGCGCGGGGCGCTCGCCGCGATCGTCGCGTTGAGCGGCAGCGGCTGGGGCCCCCTAGCGGCGCTCAGGGGGGGGGGCGGGGCCCGCGTCGAAGTCCCGCGATGCCGGCGCGCACTGCTTCCGGGAATTCCGCCTGCGCAACCGCCGGGTGGAATCGCATGGGCTTTGGCGTCGAAAGGCGGACGCTAGGAGGAGTCGGTTTGCAGGGGGGGGCGGGCGCGGGGGGGGCGCCAACGACCGCGCCGATTCCATCGCGGCCCGCTGCCCTTTCCCGGGGCTCTCAGGAATCCTCCAGGCCCAGTCGGCCTCGCAGTCGGCGCCGGCGTCGCGTCGCCCGCGAGCGCCAGCCGGCGGGCGGGCCGACCTTGTTGCGCATGTTTGTCGCGAGAGACCCGCGCGGGCCTCGCGCTGTGCCCGCGCCCCAGGGCGACGGCCCAGGCCTTTGTAGCCTCCCGCGCTGACGCGATGGCCTCGCGCGCGGCGCAGGAGCGGGCGCAGCCGACCGTTCGGCTCGCTTCCGCGCACTTCTCATGCGAGAACGCAAAGCCCCCCATGCTGCGCGCGCTTTGCGCGCTGAGCAATGCGATGCAGTTGCGACGGCCGCGCGTTCAAGTGGAAACCGCAACGCAAGTTTCCATTCCCGCGCGCGGGACGGGGTATGAACTTACAGATGCGCCGACGGTCGAGAACTCGCGCGCGCGCGCCCGCGCCTGCCATGTTGGGCGCGCGCACTGGGCCCGGAAATATGTGGCTCGGCCGCCCGATGCGCCCCAAAAAGCGCCCCGCCTCCCCCCCCGCCCCCCTCCCCCTCAAAACTCTTCCGCGCTCATGGAAAAACCACGCCGCCGAGGCGGGAGCTCGGGCCGCGGCCTGATGGCCCCCCGGGCACAGGGGAATCAAAGGAATCAGTACATAATCAAAACAGTATCGGCACATTTGCGACCCCTGATTCTAGCGGAATCAAAAGAATCAGCACGGAATCAATACGGAATCAAAGGAGGAATCGGCGATGGAACCAGGATCGGCCAGAACGGGGAAGTAGGCCAGAATCGGTGCCAGAACCCATGGAGAGAGGCCTTTTTCCCGCGAGTTCAGTGCGGCGGGTCCGCGGCGCGGGCGCGCCGCGCGACTTCGCTGGTTCAGCGAGGCGCGCAGTCGGCGTTCAGAGCGAACAGGTTGTTTTCAGGGCGATATCCTGGCGGCGCGCTGGCGCATTGCGCATTTGCGTATTCCTGGCGGGCCGTTTGAGGGCGACCCGGCAGCGTCGGCCGAATGGCCCGCAAATGCCGCGCGGCCGATTGCGCGCCCCATGCGGCCACGTCGACCGCAGTGTGCCGCGACGGCCGCGCGCCCCGGACCGCGCCGCTGCCGCGTTGGATTGGACGGCGCAGCGCCCTTCCTGCAAAAGTCGTCACATGCATATCGCGCGTGTCGAGCCAGCAGCAATCGCTCCCAGAAGCAGCCTTGACAGGCGCCCCATGCCCGTTGTCGCCCGCTTCCGATCCAAATCATAGTTTCTTAGGATGCGCTTGCGCGAATGTGAGCGCGCGGGCAAGTAACGCGCGCGCTTGGCGCAGCCCGGGAAATCCAACATGGAGCCCCCCGGGGGCGCGGGGCGCCAGCGACGCCTCCGCCCGCCTCCCGCGCGCCCGACCCCCCCCGCAAGCCGACTCCTCCTAGCGGACGCCAACGCTTCCATCGCCGCGGGGGTCGCAAGGCCGGGGGGCGCAGGCGGAGTTCGAGCAGCCGCTGGCCGCGCGGTTATCGCATTTGGGGGGCACCGAGGCATGGCGGAGCCTTTCGGCGAAGGCTCAGCGAATATCAAGCCAGGGGGAGCTACCGTCGCGCGCGCAAGGCGTGGGAGCAGGAGGCGCCCTCTTCGGGTCCGTCTTGCCTGGCCGCGGACGATCTGGGGGGCGAGAGCTGGCACGCACTGATGGCGGTGGGTGGCCGCATCAAGGCAGCAGGGGGAAGCTGGGTGCTTCGCGGAGATTCGAACGTCACCCCCCGAGACGCTCCTCAGCCGCGCAGACGCATGGTCGGCGGCGGTTGGCGGCGCAGTTGCGTCGGACCCCACGGGGGCGGGCGCTTGCTGGCTCGACCCCGCCGAGCCGCCCTCGCACCTAGATTGGTTCATCCTTTCGAGGGACATGTCGGACAGGGCATTGGGTTGCGTGATGGCGATGGACAAATTGCGCGGAGGCGGCAACATTCAGACCGCACCGACGAGCACGACTGCAGCTGGAGGCCCACGGGCCCGAGCCCTTGGACAGGCGCATGGCGGCGCCGAGGCCCTCCCCACAGACCCCGGCCCAGGGCCCGTTGGAGCCGTGGAATGGCGCGCGGGGGGGGGGGGCGCCCTCGCCCGCGGGGGATAGCCCGGGGGCGAAGACCGCGGAGGGTTTCGACGATTCCCGCGGCGAGCTTGTCGGCGAGATCGAGGAGGAGCTCATTTACATCCGCGCGGGTCCTTTTCATCATCACCGCCATCATCGCCATGGCGACCATCATCGTCATCACCATCATCATCACCATATGGGCCACTTTGGCTCCTGCACTTGCTGGGACGTGGCTTTGAACATTCACCTGATCCTCCGTTGCCAGGATTCGCTATGCCATGTCTCGGGCGCCTCGGCTGGCTGGAGGCGCAGGTCCTCGGCGGGCGCCGAGCTCATCTGACCATCAGTCAGGTTGCGGACGACACAAAGCTCAAATGCAGATTTGTTCTTTGTCCCGCTGGTGCTGGCGTTGCTTCTCCCCTTTTGTAAGCCCATCTTTGCGAGCAGCTCAGTCAGCTCCGAGGTCTCCTGGCTTCACGCGTCGTGACCGACCGTGGGCACCGATTATCATCGGGGCTTGCTGAGGTCTGTTTTTGGCTTCAACCCGTTCGGCCAGCTGTGGATCACAGAGGGGCTGGTCCTCCTGGACCTCCGGATCTTCGAGATGGAGATGGTGATGATGGTGGGTTCCCTCCCCCTGGTGGTTCTGGTGGCGGTGGGCGGCACCTTCGTCGACTTGCTGAGCATGGTAGTCTTGGCCCTTGGCACGCTCGCGGTGGCGATCCGTGGTCGCAGACTCGTTCGAGCGGGGCGGGATTCGGTCCTCCTGCTAAGGCCCCCCGTGTTCAGGCTGATCGGGTGGCCGTTCTTCTTGCAGGTGAGGTATGTGCTGTGCCAGATCATGGGGGCGACATCCGGCCGGGTGCAGGAGCTGCAGATGGTTGTGGTACTACTGACGTTAGTGGAGATGGCGCTCGCGAGTGCCCTGCTGGCCCTCATGTTGGCGCGGATCTACCAAGTCATTCTGAAGATCGAGGTGATGGTGATATTCTTCCTCAAGGCGTTCATGGTGCTGTTCGGCGAGTATGGCGCCCTCGGCACGTGGGAATACCTGCAGTTCAATTTCGAGAGCGTGCTGAACATCCAGTGGAGTTACCCGTCGTACCACCGCTCCCCTTCAACAAGATGGCACGCGAACTTCACCCTGAAATTCTGGTGGCTGCTGGAGCGCCTCTTCGTGAGCTCGATGTTGCTGATCTTCCTGAGCCTGATGCGGATCTTCCTGAGCGGCGTCAGGACCTCCTCTTTCATGGTGGGCCTACTGGTCTTCGAACTGTCAGTGACGATCATGCCGGTATCTTGGCTACAGTTGTTGTTAACTGTGCACGTGTAGATGAGATACTTCGTTCTCTTCGCCGATCGCCTGGTGGGCTTTCTGAGGGTAGGGCTGCGGAGAGCCGCCTCCTGAAGAGCGGGGCTGCATCTTTTGTGGAGCGGAGGGTCTGCCGCTCTGCTGTAGCTTCTTAATCCCGCCACGTGAGAATGCATGTTGCTGGGAGGTCCGATGTCTGTCTCATCAATTCCTGTGTTCGCCGCCTTTCACCGAGGATTCGTCAGGTTGCTGACATCATGCAAGATCCTGTCTGGCACGCTTCTTCGCTCGAGCTGGGAAGGGCCAGCACTATTTTACATCATAACGTCCAGCTGTTCGATTCGATTCTCATTGAGATTCAAGCCATGAGGGATTAACTGCTGTTGGTGGTGGCCCGTGGATTTGTCATCATTGTCGTCGTTATCATCGTCATCAGGAAACGTCCGGCGAAATATCACCGTCGTCGTCGTCGATGTCGGATTCACCATCATTGCTCGCCCGTCTGTGCCATGGATCCGCATGGGCAGGGCCCGCACGTTTCAGCGACAACTGAGATTCGCAAGCAAGCTCCGATGAGAAATATCACCGACGGCATGAACGAATTTTGGCAAGGAATTGCGGGTGGGTGTGTGGGATGGTTGTTTGAAAATGGGAGGACGTCACGCGCTGCGTAATTCAGTTTTTGCGCACCCGGCTGATTGAATGTACTACTCCGACGGAGCACCAGGTATCGTATCTGATCCCGTGCAGTACACTCCATAGTGTGCACAAGGTCGCTGTTTTGGGCTCGCACACTACACTCGCCCTTCCTTTTGCATTCTCGTGCGTTCAGGTTGCGCCAAATTTGCACGATATACCTTGCGTAGGAGCCGTGCCTGACCTCCCATGTTGTTGCGACGCGCCCGCATTCGCGGTTTTATTTTGAGTTGTTCGTTCTCACTATCTACAGGTCCGTGTGAAGAAAATCGAGGGGCCGTTCCTCAAGGTGACCCAGCAAGGCCCCATGTGGCCCCGCGACGGCCCCAGGAAGACCCCGGCCTTGTCTTGCTTCTGCCCTTGCCGTATCATGCCCCCCCGCAACCCCCGATTTGTCTCGCGTCCCCAAAATGCTTCTAGCCCATGATAACTAAAATCGCTGAGCCCCTGGGGTCAAACATGAGTTCCTTCTCCGTCGTCCTCGGTCTCATCGCGCTTATGTTGTGCTTGGGTAATCAGTGGGCTGCGTCTGTGGCCGAGTCTCCTTTCGCCGACGTCGTCGCCGCCGTCCCACCCCCGCCGACAGGGCATCGGGGCCGAACCCCCCGCGCCCGCGCCGCGCGCCGGCGGCAGGGCTGCCACGCCTCCAGCGGGCAGGTGCCCGCCACCGCCGACGGCGACTGCGATGGCGACGACTACGACGAACACGACGAAAACGACGGCGGACGCGGCGGCCAGCGCGGTTTGCTGCGCTCACCGCCACCGCTGTCGTCGTCGTCGTCGTCGTCGTCGTTGTTGTCGTCGTTTTGTCCTCGTCCTCGTTTCTGTCCTCGTCATTTTCCCCGTAGCGCCCCCTCGTGGCGTTTCTGCCGTCCGTCGCGCTCTCGTTTTTTTGTCGGTTCCTACGTGGCGTTTCTTTCTCCTAAGTTTCTTCCTCCTTTCTCTTCCATTTCTTCCTCCTCCTGTTCCTCCCTACTTCTCCTCTCTTTTCCTGCCTCCTCGTTGTCGTTGCCATCCCGGTCCCTGCTGATCTTTCCCTTTCGGCCTCCGTTTCCCTGGACATATGGAGGCAGGCGGCGTCGGGTTTGTTATTCGGCGCGTTCACGAAGCTGGCCAGGAAGCTGCAAGGCCGGTGCTGCAGGAAGTGAGCAGAATGGAAGATCGTCAACGCCACCACACTGCGGTCGCCCACGAAGAGGAGCATTTATGTCTCCGAGCACTGACGGACCCAGCGCTTTGGGCCGTTCGTGCCAGTGCGGATGCGATCGCGAGGCGCCGAGAAGAGCTTGACCGAGGATGAACTCCCAAGTGTCTGGTGTGATGCGGTGGAGCTGATCATCGGTTGCGTGGCGCCAGCCATTCTCAACTTTCCTCAAGGCTACATCGTCGCGTACGTCGGTCGTGGGGGGGGGGGCGCCACGGGGCTGACGTTCGCGCAGCGGGGCTGCACACCCGCATTGGCGCGTGCAGCTGCGGCGCGCAGGCTGACGTCCTGCCGCATCGCTTGGGCAACTCTTTGGGACCGCACAGCCCGCGACGAACGATCTGCTGGTCGAAGTTGCCACGTCTCCCCCGTGGCAGAGCCTCCCGCCCTTCCCCAAATCCTGTGTGCGCGTGCGGCCGTTGGGGAGGACGAGGCGGAAGGCTCATCCTTGTCCTCTGGGGTCTTGGTGGCAGGCGACGGGCCTGCTACGGCAGCCGACGTCCTCGAGTTCAGGAACGGGGGCTTGAACGTGTGTTTGTGTGTGTGCTTTTGTGCAGTCGCCAGCGACTCCTGGTGGAATCTGACATGGTCGAATGTGTCCAGTTGTTGCACTCGCGATGGGGCCGTCACATTGGCGGAGGAAAGTCAGTTCTCGCGTCTCCCCCTTCCGTTGCCAGCCATCTTTCCGCCTTTTATCCACAGCGCTTGGTGCAATTCGTGTGGACGCGTCCAGCACATTCTTGACCTGCGATAGTGATGCGGTCTCGCCGACACCGGAACAACACGCGCCCCCGATTTTTTACCTGGCGCAGGCCCGCGGCCGCGCTTGAAAATGCACACTTCGCAATGGCGCTGCTACTTTGCCGGAGTAGGAAAAGCGCGCGTGTGTGTGTATTTGCGTGTCATGGGGCCCTTGTGGCAAAGGGGCGGCCGTCGGTCCGCGGTGGTGGGGTGATTGTAAGAATCCTGAGGGGGTCTGTCGGCGCCCCAATGTTCGACGCTCGGCGCCCCAATGTTCGACGCTCGTTGGCGTCGGCCCACGCCGGCGCGAAGTGCTGGCGCTGTGGCAGTGGCGGGCCCTGGAGAGGGAATTGCAGCGACAGGACTCACGCTGCCAAGACGCCGCTTTAGGGTCTTTAGGAGAGTGAGCGGTGGGGGGGCAAGACGCAGGTAATTCGACGACATCTCGTCCCACCAAGGGTCAAGTGCGTGCTTGCGTGTGACCCCGCTCACATCGGCAACTGCATGGCTGTCTTGTGTTTTCCACGTGCGTCCGCTTCTGCGGATCTCTGCTTTCACGCATCAGCCTTCGTCTTGACCCCCATCTAACAGGGCCAGGTGGTACTTGGACCCATCTCGCCTGGCCGTTGGAGGAAACAGTTTGTTTACGTGTAAGTGTGTGTGTGTGTGCGCCTGGGAGGGGTGGTGCAGCTTCCACCGCCTAGATCCGGGGTTCACTGCGCACTCTCTGGCCGTCTTCAAGGGGTTCTTCGACTGATGCCCCACGCGTGGCGTCGACGTCATCGCTCTGCTGTGCGGGCCGCCCCCGGCGTCATCACGAAAGAGGAAATCCCCAGCGCGTCGCAAGTGAATGCCCCACGGTCCGACAGTCCTGGCTCCTCCCGTCGGAGGGCTGGCCCTCGCCAGCCCCCCAGCTGGACCTCTGGGGCCCGCCAGTGACCGCCTGTTGGCGCGCTCATTCTTCGCGGCCCGGGCTCGAGGCCGCGCGCCCCCTTGTTTCTTTTGTCGCCGTGTCAGACGCGGGCCATCTGGGCTCCGCGCTCGCCGCCACCTTGGCCAGTGCTTCCGGAAAGTGCCCGCCTGAGCTGGGGCCGCCTGTGAGCGTGGCGGCCATGCGTCGACCGCCAGGACGCGGGCCATCTGGGCTCCGCGCTCGCCGCCACCTTGGCCAGTGCTTCCGGAAAGGGCCCGCCTGAGTTGGGGCCGCCTGTGGGTGTGGCTGCCACGCGTCGATTGCGGTACTCTCGCCTGGCTCGCCCGCGCTCCTCCCATGGGCGTGTTCCGATCTCTGCGGTTGCCGCCGCGAGGAGATTTTCCGCCAGTGCTGCAGTTCGCCGCGGGCGCAGCTTCCGCAGCGTGGCGCCTCCTACCCACTGACCACCTCGAGGGCGCTCTTCGCCTCCTCCGAGCCAGTGTCCATCTCGACGCTGCCCCATTCGACAGCGCGCCGTCCGCGGCGTCATCCGCTTCCCCTCCTCCCACGACACGGACAAATCCGACGTAGCCCCGTGCGACCAGTCCCAACCGTGCGCGGCCCACTGTCCGCCCAATCCCCCGTCGCCTCTCTCCCGCGGCAGGGCCCCCTGATCGGGGGCCCCCGCGGCTTGGCCCAGGTTCACGCCCCCGTGTCCGCGCCGCCAGGCTCGCCGAACACTTTTTGAGCACCGCCCGCCCTGCGCGCTCCGGATGAGCCACGCCCCGCGCAGTTGGGCAGACCGACCGCCTTCCTCCCGTTTTCGGGGCCATTGCTCGCCTCCACTGTCAGCCCTGTGTTTTCTCTATGACCGCTCTCGATTTCCACCCCGCGCCCAGCCTCAAGCGCTGGGGCGCCTGCCTCTCCTGCCGCTCGCCCCTCGCGATGATGGGGCAGGCGGCCATGCCCCCCGAGTAGCCCAGGGACCCAGTCCCCCTCCCGGGAGATGCTATCTTCGACGCCGACGTGCCGCGGTTTCCTTCCGAGAGCATTGGGGCCGCATGCGCCGCCCACCCCAGCGCCCAAGGAATGGTCAGTCCAGCGGCCCCCCGCTGTTTCGGCCGCGCCACGCCGGCGGCCGCCTGTTCGACGCCGTCGCGACTCTCGGCCGCCCTGCTGGTTTCAGCCCGGAGGCCGTGCACCCCTCTGGCCCCCCGCGGGCCCCCCGCCGCCCCTCGGCCCCCGTGAGACGCCCCTGGCGCGGGGCCACGGCGACTTGCCTTCGCCTCCCGACCGTAGCGCCATCCAAAGTTTCGACTGCATTATTTGTTTTCCCACCGCAGGACCCCTCCGCGCCGCGCGACGGCGACGGTGCCAATGACGAACGACAGCACAACACGGTCATGAACCCGCTCGGCCCTCTCGCCCGTCCGCTGGCCCGAGCAGGGCCGAGATCGAAAATGCCTTCCGCGCGGCGTTCAACGAGTGGCTGGAGTCCGCGGGCCACCAGGCTGATGATCTGCCTGTTCGGCCCGTCGCCCCTGCTGCTTCGAGCGCGGATCTGCCCGCTCTTGGCTCGGGCTGGCCGCCCGCCCCGCCAGCGCCCTCGCAGCAGGTCTGCCACCTCATCCGGGCTCGACTCTGTCTCTTCAGCTGCGCGGCCCTCGCCCGCCCTACACCGGCCCCTGTCCCGCCTGACCCGCGGCGGCCCATTGTCTCGCCCGGCGTGGCCCCGATGCCGTCGTCGACCAGCTGTGCTTCTGCCGCGGGCCTTGCGAACTGTTGCCTTGCCCCCAGCGCGGATCTCCACGCCTTGCGTAGCGCTGGTGCGCCTCGCGGGCTGCTCGCCCGCCCCTCCGTCGCCCCGCTGGCATGTCGCCTCGCCTGGGCTTGAC